TGTTTTTTACTGTGTAAGTAAAGACAAATTATATAGATTTTTTTTTTTCAACATCGATCGAAAGAGCTTTTGAGTTATAAGCGATTTTGCGAATTCAAAAATCATCGCGAATTAAAATCGAACGTCACACGACCAAACGAATTAAACTTGACTCTTCAAGCGGACCTTACTCTCACAAAGTTTCACTAGGATCAGCCACAAATGGACTTAATTTATGTGGTGAAATCGGGACGATAAAAATTTAATTCCTGAGAAGAGAATTTCCGCGTGTGTGAATCCTTATTCGTGCTGATATTATATATTTGTCAAATCGTCCGGACGATTCAGATTCCTCGGACCTAATCACGCGAAGTCACGAACGCACCTTAACGGTGAGACCGAACAACATATGCGCTCGTGACAAGATTCTTTTGCGAAGATAACAAAGAAAATTTGTCGCCCGGCCCGCGCCAGCCTCGGTATTCTGGTCAGGGACACCCTGTATAACAAGCGGCGATAACGAAACGAGTTCCGTGCGCTCCCCATACCGCACGAGCATCGATCGGCACTTTACGAATCGCGTCCCCTACGAGGTCGCGATGACGATCATTCTCCGTCCGTCCGACCATCGGGATTTCGTTGAGCGGACCTTTGGAGGTGCCATTAAGAGTTACATGCACCCGAGCGGCTCGAAAAATGTCCAATTTTTCTACTGATCATATTATTGACTTTGTGAAGATGTCTTTTTTAAAGGTAATTCTTCATATTTTTATTTACATTTGTGAAGCCTATTACACAAGGTTGATACGTAACGCTGTTATTTCTTTACTATTTCCGCGAAGCTCGTTATCGCTAATGGAAAATATCTCGGGAACTATTGGACCGATTTACTTGTAATTTTGCGTAGATATTCTTAGTAAGATTATCTAATCTTTGTCCCAGCATTTTTTCTGATATATATATATAGTTTTTTTATAAACTAAAAGAAGAGAAATTTGTGACGGAAACTCGAACTTTTGTTTTCAAATGTCAGTAACTTTATCAAACATTAATATTCTTTAATGATTCCATCATATTAATTCATCTTCAACATGATCGGCAGAAAAATTCAAGCATTGAGCGTTTTTCGAGCTTCACGGGTGTATATAGCCCCTTTAAGTACAGAACCGACCTCTGACCCCGAGCGGACCGAAAGGATGACATTTATCATTCTCGAATCTCCATTTCCGGACGTCACATCGTCACGAAACGTCGCGTGACGACTATCGCACATTCTATGAGATTATACAATCTGGTGCGAGTGAGACGGAAAAAAGACCGAGCCGATCAGGGAGCTGAGAGAATAGGTGATATCGTGTCGTTTTGACTTGCCGTCGAATTGAAACGAGTGTACGCAAGCCGTTTACGTCACCGGCAATAACGTGCATCGCGGGGCGATGAATATCGCGCGGCAATTAGCCGCGCTTTCACCTCGGCCGCGATTCGATGGATGCGCGGACTCGCGGTCTTATTTCGGGGACTCCGCGGAGCCTTCGCGGAAGTGGAGCTTGGCTGGCTCCGCCGGGCGTCGTGTGTCGCGAATTTGGAAGGCCGCCAATCTCGTGCCGGATGTAGACGAGGCTCTGACCGAGGCAGGAGTCTGGCTGCTCTCAGGGAGCAACGTCCTGCCTGCGAATATGCTCGTCGAGAGCGGGTAGGAGGACACCGCAAGAAGAAGTCCGACGGAAGAGGCGGAGAAGGTGGCGGATCTCCGTCCGGCGGAGCGGATCGCTCCCGATCGCAGGATTTTTGCCTGCCTACCTACTCTACTGTGCCTTCGCGATGCCATGTTCTCAGCGGAACGAAAATGCTCCTCTCTCTCCGGCGAATCTCCGGTATTTCGATCGAAAAGGACGCGAAAGACGTTTATTTTACGCGAGCTGTGACGGCTCGTCCTCGACGTCGTGGCCAGGTCGAAACGTTTTATTCCCTTTCGATGATGAGAGAAATCGTAATGGGACATGCCGCGCCAAAGCCAGCGACGTTACGTTCGATAAGTACGATGGGTGTCACAACCGGTGTATCCGCCGCGTTACAGTGCATTAGCGTCGCTGGATATCGTTCGGGTATCGCGGACACGGTGAATTTTGCAGTACATACGCAACGCGGCGGCTTCTTATCGCCGCGCATGATCCAGCATAAGTAACGTCTTATCGCGAGCCATGATCTAGCATAAATAAGTGGAGGGTTAAAGACTCGCTTCCTCTAGTTAGTCCTCGGCGACTTGTAACGGTGTGATAATTACCTGCCAGCGATTGCCATATCTCTTCGCCATTTCATACAAATAATTTCATCATTTTTCCCTTCGTAATCGCGGGAATGATCGATTGATTGAAATGGCTCTATGGTGACGATCGTAGGTTAACACCGCGACGAACTAGAAACTGACTCGACGCAATTGCCACATCTCTCGCGTGTCTTCGCCTTAAAATAAAAATAAACTCGTCAGGTTTATAAATGGAGGTTTAAACACTCGCTTCCCCTAGTCTTCCGCGACTTTTAAGTACAATAATTAGCAGCCGACAACTGCCATGTCTCTCGAGTGTTTTCGATCGAAATAATTTCGCGATTTTCCTCTTCATCGCTTAATCGCTGAAATGAGCATCGGTCGACTGAATTGGCAATAAGAGGACGATCGCAGGCAAACATCGCGACAAACTAGAAACTCACTTGACGTAAATGTCGAGCGCAATTATCATATTTCTCGCATATCTTCGCCTTTGAATAAAATTAAACTCGCCACGTTCGCAAATAGAGGGTTAAATACTCGTTTCCTTCGGTTAATCCTCTGCGACTTGCAATAATTAATTGCCGGCGACTGTCGTATCTTTCGCCTTTCGATAAACATAATTCCGCAATTTTCCTCTTCGTAATCGCTGAAATGAGCTCCGATCGACTGAATTGGTGATCGCAGGTAAACATCGCGACAAAACTTACTCGGTACAAACGTCGAGCGCAATCGCCATCTCTCTCGCGTATCTTATCGCATTTGAATAAAAATAAACTCGTTAGGTGCACAAATGGAGGATTAAAGACTCATTTCCTCCAGTTGGTTCTCCGCGACTTGTGTGACTGTGTATTAATTAACAGCTGGCGACTGTCATAGGTATCTCTCATGTATCTTCGACACTCAATAGAAATAATCTCATCATTTTCCTCTTCATGAGACCGCTGAAGTGAGCAATAAAGATCGTGGGCAAACACCGTGAGAAACCGCCTGGACGTGAACGTCGGGCGTCTCTTCGCCTTCGAATGAAAACGATCCCCCAATTTCCCTGTTCATAACCGCGGAAACGAGCGTCGATCGATCGGCTGAATAGGCAATGCGGCGGTGGATCGCAGATAAACATCGCGAGAGTAACTGGAAACTGTGACTCGGCATAAGCGCGCCGAGTGTTTGCGACCGAGCTGGACGATCGTAAACGAGATCGTTAATAGCGCGGGCGCCTCCGATTCGAAATGCTGTATCGAGTACCCGGCTGTGTGTGTGTCACTTTCGAAGCGTAATCGCGAATTTATAGACGCGTGTTCGGATGGAGCCTCGGATGATATACGGGAATATCCGGCGGTCAAATGATTCAGCTATACTCTCGGCCCGAACGTTTGGATTTTGAGTTATTGCCGATCGATCGCGCGGCGCAGGTGCGGTCCCAGCCGTTTTTGGTGCTCGTACGGCGAAGAGAGGCATCGCCTCTGCGAGTCGCCAAGATTTGTCGAGAGGCCGGTGAGAGGAGAGCGGAGGCTGCAATGTGGCGAACAATTGCGGTCGGACGAACTCGCTTGGCGGGATCGAAGCTCGGGAATTCCGCGGGAATGCATTGCCATATTCGTCCTACGGCGCGAGAGTGTCGTCGCCGGGCGACGTGCGTGCAATTACGTCGTCGCCGAACATGGAAGGCGGGAGAGAGAGAGAGAAAGAGTGTGTTGTTTATTTGTATTTTGGAATTAAGTTTCCTCAAGCGCTGGTATGAGAAAAAATACAAGGACTCGCGATCAAAAGTGAATACGACAAAAACGTACGTAGCGTACGTGCAATTGGTGCAAAGGGAAGGAAAAATAATAGTAGCAAATACAACAAAATACATGTGCACATAAATGTATGAAAAGAAAAAATTATTTGAATAAAAGAAAAAAATAGAAAATTATATCCATAACACGATACAACATGCAGAAACCAATACAAAACCGGGGTTTGTTGAGCGTCTAAAGCTTGATTTTCTAAACAGTGAGACTTGAAAATAACGCGCAACAATAGTCGTACAAGGGAAAGATGAGTGTGGATATAAGTTTTACGCGCAATTGAAGTGGATAAACAATGTTTCAGCCGCCAAGAGAGAGAGAGAGGCAGGATGAATCGATCGCAATTTTAATTGCGACAATGTGCCGCGTTCGCGCGTAAACAGCGTCGGCCTCTCCCGTTTTCGCAACGGGAGAGTTCACCGTGGAAGTCGCCGTTACGACGCCTTTGATTTACGCGCGATGCAAAAGTGGCGAGCGGGCGGGCGAGCGAGCGAGAGAGGGGGAAAAAAAGGAAAGCGAGGTTCAATTGAAAATCCCGGCTACTAAATGGCCCCCGCGCTCACGGGGCTTACGTAACGAGGATTTATCGTCGGGTGACCGTACTTGACTCCAGTTACGCACGGAGCGCATTGTGCGCGCTGCTCTCCCGTCGGAGGGAGAGGTAAATAGAAACCTCACTTCAATTGAACGTGTCTCGATTATCCCGATTGCGTTTATGCGGCCAAAGGTCGAGTTATGCGCGTTACGAACGCGCGGAGAACAATAAAATATTCTATTCTCGTCGCGGACGGCGACGAGCAACGGGGCGAGCGCAAACGTTTTCGGAGAGATCCTCCCGATCTCCCTTTCCCATCCTTCCAAATGCATCGAGTAAACGATGATTTCGGTTGTTGGTCGCCGTCGTGAGTCACAATCGGAGCGAACGACGACCGGCTTCTACTCGCACGGTAGCGACTTCTTACCTGTCCGGTATCCCGCGTTGCTCAAGTAAGCAGCGAAGGAGTGCGGCTCGTGATCTCGTTGCCACTGGGGACTGCTGCAGTTGTCGTTGTTCGTGAAGACCTCGTGATTGTGAACGTAACGACCGGTCAGCAAGGAGCTCCTACTTGGGCAACACATGGGAGTGGTCACGTATGCGTGTCTCAGCTCGGCGCCCTCGTCCCTTATTCGCCTCAGGGTCCGTGGCATGAAGTTCAGCGAACCTGAGGGATCGACCACTTTGAGAACGCGGTCAAACATTTGTCCGGCCGTTCGGGTGTGACGACTTCGCGATGTTTACCCCGCGGATTCCTCGATCGATTCGCGGCCGGCTCTGTCCGAAGACGCGCGAATATCAAGCGCCGAGGTCCTCTCTCTGAAGCAATTCTCGCGGGAGATAGGGAAAAGGGAGACGTGGGGGAGTAATGCTCGACGAATACTCGGCGAAAAACGTCAAATACGCTTGACTGATTTTTCCAATTTTTCTCTCGCGGCTTATCCGCTGAAATATTGGACACTGATAACGCGAGCAAGAAGCAGGATATCTCGGATATCATTCGGCGACCTCACGTATGCAATTATTAACGAGTGAATTGCAGCGAAATAAGCACGCTCGCGCGCTACCACGCGACATATTGCGTTTCTCTTGGCGCGCACACACACGTGTCGCGATATCTCGGCGGCTTCCTTCGCGAAGACCGAGACGAATATCGTAACGGTGAGATAAGGTGCCGGGGTGTTGCACGCAATAAACAAAGTGACTCTATGTTCTGCGTAGGCACATTCATACCGGTAATACGGCGCGATAAATAATCCGACGCTGTGCACGCACGACGTGGAGAGAGGAGGCCGAGCAGCACTGCGCCGTGTCTTTACTAGTGTTGGGCGATCTTTCAGAACAAATCGATTCTTCAATCAGTCTTGAGTCTTGGTATAAATAGAACCGACTTATGAAAAAAATCGGACTGAAAGAATCTATCTCCTGAAAATTGATCTAGAAAAATCGCATGAAATTAGCATTTAAATGTATCTGCTGAATCTAAAGTTAATTCGCCGTACTTATACAAGAATAACTTCAACCCACATGAAGTATGTTTTATGAGGAATGGAAATTTGATATATGATTTAAAAATAAAGATAGCACAAAGGTTTTTCGTCATAACGATTCAGGAGGTCAAGCATGATTAATTTTCTTCTTACTCCCGACTGCTGCCAACCAAAGATAGCAAAAACGGAGAAAGTATACGTTTCACCGATGTTGCATCCTTTGTTACGCATGTTCGCAATAACTGTGTAGTTCGAAGCCAAGTTTCTCATATAAGCTTCTTATGTATTCAACTAGGTTTAGAACATAAAATAATCCAAACTTTTCCGCGTTCTGTGTGCAGAAGTCATAAATGAAATATCACCCTTCAGTTGAAGCAGTAACTAGAAATTTGATTGGTTGAAATTCTAGATCTTTGGTAGTAACTTTTGCTCAAAGTCAAATTTACCTTCATTTATATAGTCCTTTGAAATATAAGCCTAAGTCTAATATTCTAATTGTATCAGACGTTGTGAATTGTTCATTAAACGAAGCAACACTGACGAATAAGCATATCAACGGATCAAAAAGCGCTTTTCTATTGAAAGAATTGATTCGTACGAAAATTGAACAGAGAAGAATCTATTAAAAACATTAGCGGGAAAAATTGATCTTCCGAAGAATGAATCGGGATTTCCCGCCACTATACAGATGGGAATATGTTAAAAAGTACACACAAATACATGTTAAATCAACATATTCACTTTGTTAACGTATTACTCTTCAACACATTCACCTTGTTAAAGTGAAAAATTTCAGCGAACCTTTTACTTATGGAAAATTTGTGTACCGTGCAGTCTTTACGTACCCAGCTCGACATCCTGATCGTCCGTCAGAATCAGCACGATGTTGGGCTTTCTCTCCCTGGTCTGCTGATACGGCAGATAGGGTGAGTTCGACTGATGATTGTAATTATTATTGCCGTTGTAATTCGACTTGTGGAGGGTGCCGCGACGCTGACCGGCGTACGCGTCATCCGCAGGTCTGTCTCCGTCGGTCCGTCTGGCATTGACACCCAGCAGGAGGAGAGCCAGAAATTGAAATAGCTTGCTCATGGCGTTCGGCTGCTGCGCTGGCTCGTCGCTTATGGGCTGGCTACCTCAATCGAGTGTCATACCATGGTGCTGGGCTGCAACAGGAAAACAGAACGCGTTAATGCGCTTCCCTGAGCGATCCTCGTTGCTTGCGTCTCGTTGAATCTTTTATTTTCGAACTGTCGATAAGGATCGAATCGCGATCGGTCTCGTTGCAGCGCAAACGCGCGCACTCACATCTATACGCGCTCGCATTCTCACGCGGAGTTTTTCGACGTATGAGCGATGAAAGAGGAAAAAAGCTTCTCCATGACGAGATAAGAACCAGCGGCTCTCGCAATCAGACACTTATTGAAAAATGTGCAACGCAGGTGAGTATCTATCGGACTTTCCATTCATCCGGCGTGACACGCCGGCGAATGAAATTCCCGCACGACCGAAACATGTTATGCAATCTGCGTTATAATATATCCGCGAGCTTTGCAATTCAGCGACGATCATCTCCGATGGTGCGGCGTTCGCCGCTCGTTACGATTTCGTCGTACGCAAGCAATTAATAAGCATTGTGTTAATATCATCGATGTTAATTCGTAATATTCGACGCGATTGTCCGTGGACGCGGTGCATATCCACCAACACAAACGCTTCCACCGAGGACGCACGTGAGCGTCCTAACTAAATAGGGAACGTCCTGCTCTCAGGACAGAGAGAGCCTCGGGAATGAAAGATGAGAGAGATGAAAGCCGTAAAAAAGAGAGAAAAGGAACGCGTGACCCACGGTCAGAAGCGAAGAACAAGACCATAATCGCGTGGTCCGTGTTTTACGGCCGGTTGTTTTATCGCATCCCGGAGATCTCGCGAGGAACCGGCGGGCCCGAATTACAACTCCCCCGCTCATTGACTCGGCCGCGTATATCATCGAGACCGTGAACGATTTGTAATGCTCGCCGGAAGTTTCACCTGATCTATGAGTCACTTGAGGATCGTCAAACCTTGACGATTCTGTGACATTCTTTTTTAACGCCTATCTTGAATCTTTAATTTTACAGATTGAATTTTAATGCTGCCCTTAACAACCTATTTTCACGCTAAAATAGAGAAAATAGAAATTTAAGATATCATCAAATCGAACCTATTTTGCTATCTTAGCCCATACTATGATATAGAATAAAAGGTAGAATAGAGGTAGAATAAAAAGTCTGTAATAGAGCGTTCTGCGAAATAGAAAACTACTGTCATTTGTTTGCACAAACCGTCAGACTCTCGGCAGGGATTTCAATTTGTGTGAATGTTGCGCCCGCGTTATCTTTTCGGTCTTTCTTATTTATTTATGTTAATATCGATACATTTTGCACAATTTTATTGTTTTCCTATATTTTTATTTTTACACTGAGGTTAAACTTGAAAAAAATATTTTTTAAATTTTCGCTCGAAAATCGCTCGAAAATCGCTCCAACTGCATAAATCTTTTACCGCAGCAGCAAAATTGTTTTTGCTCTAACTACGAGTACTCCGAGTACTGATTCGGTAATGACAATGAAATTTTATTGCTATCGCAACGAATATGCAGCAGCAGCAGCGATGGTGTCGTTACAACGGCAAAATAATTTTTCTTCGTGTGGCTCTTACGAAACGAATTCGATTCTCACAGTCAGAAATTCTGTTTCCCTCGACCAAAGCCGTCTTTGGTCCCTTCGTTGTCGGGTTAATTCACACAACCGGACTTTCTTCTCCGCATATATTTAACGGATAATGAATGTACCATCGAATAGAAATCGACCGTCCCTTACTCGACACGTCCGCGTGCTCTCGCGCCTCCGTTAATGTCTTCGACGCGCGCCTCCTTCGAATTCGATTAACGTCGACGCGCGGCTTGTCGGGATTCCATTTTCTTCGCCGACGTAATTTATTATTATATCGGGGATTCGTTCTTGTGTCGTGGGTGGCGACGCGCTGAGTGGGCTGAGCGCAGGTTAAACGGATGTTACGTGCGCGCGTTTACGTGTTAACCTGCCTGCCCGCGACACGACAGCGTTCGCGTTTAGTGTAGGTCGATCTGTAGGCTCCGAGGAAGCGATGATCGCCCTCTCGGATTGCCGCGTGGTCGCGTGGGTTGCATAACGCGCGATGTTCCTCGTTGATTTATTAAACGTTATCCCCGAGATTCCTCGGGGTTTTCAAGGATCGAAAGGGTGTCGAACGAAATTATGGACTGTGAACTGGAGGCGCTGCAATATCGCGTGTCGAGAATACGATCGATTAAATAATTGAGCGAATATTAAATAAAATGTGGGCGAATAAAGGAGATTAATGGATACAAACGAAACAAACCTGCTCTCTTGACTACTCTTTTATTATCATTTTTGGTATTTGAAGCTCAATGGGACTCGGAAATTCGAATGAAGCGAAGAGAAAGGAGTTGTAATGATAACAGTCACGGCGATAATGCCACGTACCAATTAGTAGTTTAAATGTGGAGTCAGTGAGACAATTCAATAACGACCAACCTTGATCGCTACCAATAGAGAGACGTTACTTTTCGTGTCGACGAGCGACATGCACATCCTGCAACGGGAGTTATTTACGTTTGCCATCGCTTCTCGAAATGTTTAATCAGAAACTTGTTGGTGTCTCGTTTATTAATCGTGTTTGCGCGACCGTCCATACCACGATGAGCGACCGGCAGTCAGGAAGACATGTATCCAGTAGGCCGATTTTCTCATTTTTAACAACAGTTCGTTATCGTTACGTCATCGTTTACAGTCGTCGTTGTTAGTTTTTCTGTCATATATTATATCCGTACAACAACATAACAATGACGACATTGCCGTTAAAAGTTATAGAATCGGCCTATAGGTGCGTTCAGTTATTTGTTATGATTTTTACGAACGTTTGTCGGACTCACCGAGAACAAGAAAATATCTCGATCCGAAATTCAGACCGGCACTCATAGTTCGACTCGGCTAGCGAGACGTTATCGGCGTTATCAGAGTCGTTATCAGTGTTTGCATACGGGAACGTCAAGAGCACGAATAAATAAAGCAGGTACATCTGCTTGATTACGTTCGATCGTATCTAATGAGGAAACGAGGACCGATCTTTTACCCGAGATAAACGCGAGTAAAGCTCCGGACGTGCCGTAGACGGCGAGAAAGCGTCGACGACCGCGGCCGTTCCCTCCGCCTCCTCTTCGGCCTTCCTTTTCTGCTCGGCCGATCCTCTCGATTGGTTGCAGTCCATGTCCGTTTAAGAAGCGGCTCGCATTTTTCGCACTCTCAAAAAGAGAGAGAGAGAGAGAGAGAAGCGTTTATTATAGTTCTGTAGCAAGCTCACTAAGGACTCAAAGTATACGTATGAACGATAAGCATATTGATGATTTTATACAACAATATAAATCAACTACATAAGTTTGAAGTAAAAGAAAGAGGAAGGAATGAAAGGAAAAGAAAAATTCAGTTGAAAAGAAAAATTATTAGTCTGTGGACACGCAGGTGTAGGAAGAAAATAATTAAAGTATTTTTAAAGAAAGAGAAATGATATGAGATGAAATGAGGAAGATGCAGAAAGACAATCGTAGCGCAAAAAAATACAACTTATGTACTGGAACGCAATAAGACAAGTGTGTACAATGTATAGGGTAAAGTTACTTAGAAGTTGATTTGGTTATGTTAGAAAGAAAAAGAAATCTCTCTCTCTCTCGTCCTTCACAATTCCCAATCGATGATAGGCTACGAAGTATCGTTCCAACAGCCGCGATACCGAGACGCGGATTAGACGATCCGCGGTTTCGCGATCGGCCGCGCGCGGCTCGCCGGGCAAATAACAAGACGGCGAACGAGCCGCGATTTACCACGCTCGCATGCATGCACGCACGCACGCACGTTGAGGGACGAGGCGATTTTCTTCACAATGACTTGGTCGTTGCACAGTCACGTTTCCCTTCGTGGACTCCGGCTTTGGCAAACGTCCGGAGTCGACGGTGGCCTCTCGGCACACACGTCCAAGATCGCTCGTTAGTCCGATGTTAATCGCGCGCGCTCGCAGTGACGTAATCGGCGTTTAGGTCGTCGTTCCTCGACAAGAAACTCGAAAAGATCTTTTCTCCTCTCGGATCAACGTCAAATTGTCGAATTTAACGTCGTAGGGCGATCAATTCCACGGATCCCTTCTCTCTACCTCACTCTCTTTCTCTTTATCTTTTACCTTTCTCCTTCCCTTCCTAACCTCACGCAATCAAAAGCATCAATTCTCCACTCCTTTATGTCGCACCTCTACTTTCCAAAACTCATTTCAAATATCATTTTCTGAAACTCACCTCCTCTTCGAGATCGGGACATCGGATATGACCTTTTTTTTTTTAAAACGGGCTCTTCTGTCATCTGCGAGGACCGACTTAACAACATGCACTTTCACAAACTGTTTGTCCGTTTTGCATGTCAGTTAAATGCGAGCCCGCCAACTTTATTCAATTTATCTCTGCACGTTATCTTGTACATATATACACAGAAAGAGAATGCTATTGAATCAATAGGATTTCCAACAGGACACGTAATTGGAGCAAATCTTCTTGATTCAATTGTGATATTATTGAAACTAATACTTGAATTATTGCAATACATAATGTAGTAGTTTTAATGATATTTACCATCGAATCAAGAAGATTTACTCTAATTACGCTACTATTGGAAATTTTATAGATTCAACAGCATTTTATCCATGCGCATATTATTTTTTTCTCTTTTCTTTCTCCCCTTTGGTATTTTCTGATATTTCTTCCTTTCCACTCTTTTCTTGTATCTTTCTTTAATTTATCAATTGCTCAAAGCGCAATCGTTCTAAGAAGGCTTACCCTAGAATATTTAATAAATGTTTTTTTTTTATTTATCCACCTCCCTCTTCTCTCTTTCACCTTAATTTTTCTTCCCGTCTCTCAAAATGTTCTCCCCTCCTTTCTTTTCTCTCTCTCCTATTCCCCGAGATTCTTTTAGCGGTCCCGCGTTACCCTTGACATTAGAAAGAGGCGTGATTGGCCGCGCAGCTGGTATTTATGCCGTTGTGGCATCGACAAGCCAATATGAAAAATCTCACGTCGGCA